TATATATATATAGCATTGAAAGCAGCTGATGAAAATGGCTCATTTGAAAGAAGGGTTTTGCACTTACTGCAGCTGTTTTTAYTTTGTTATGGGAGAGTTCATGTCTCAACACATCAAAGAAGAAGAAATGAATTAAAAGTAGCAGAACAAGGTTTAGTACTGGGTTTGGCTTCTTATGAACATCTTGTAAGTTTTCATATAGCAGATATTTCAAGCCCACAACATCAAAGGAATGGCCAGCCTTTTTTTTCTTGTTGAAAATGAAACTGACCTAAACTAAACCATATAATGTCATTAGAACAATTGATAACTGGGAAGAATAATCTCAATCTTACAAGCAGTAATTTGGTAACACTTTAGAATTAACGATTTAATTTCTTACATAGGAACAGAAGGAAAATGGGATTTACTGCTGCTTAATTATTATTTAATTAGGTCCTAATTAGTTAAAGATTATTTTATAGTCTGCTACACATGGTTTTGATCCAACTGATGAACCATTACCTAATCTGTACCTAATGATTAGTTCATTAGAAAATAACTRCTGATCTGTMTCTTGTTTATTATTAGTTAACTGAWAATTAGTCACTGKTTTGTTCAGTGTTTTAACTTGAAGGGCTTTATTATAAAGGGAATACCAGTAATTTTCTGTCAGATGTTTCCTGCAACCTACCGTCTCCAAGCTTAATTTGCTCCAAACTAGCTAAAGTAAACATATTTTTCCTTTAAAGAAACTGTTCTTATTTTCTTTTAGATAGGGTTGCATGAKGTAGCTGTAAGTAGTCAGTATCTTACCTMACGTGCCTTCGGGGTCGGCTCTGGGACTCCCCCACAGTCACTACTTTACACTCCGTTGGAGAAATCCTGTATATTTATGCTTGCTCACAACCACATGCAGATGGGTTCAGATCCGAGGGGTTCTGAATGATCACCAGGTGTATATAGGAGGGTGTTTATGTGTGTAAATGTATATATGTATGCTTTTGCTAAGTTTTGTTACCTTTTTTTTTTGTTTTGCAGGTGTGCAGACATTTTATTTTCTTTAATAAGAAAAAAAAAAGACTAAGAAAAAAGTATCTTACCTGCAGCAGTTGTGTTATTTAAAAGAGGAAAAATCATGTAGAAGATCAAATGTGAAACTAAATCACAGAAGGGCCCATTTCAGAGGGTTTTTTGCCATCTAAAACAACTTAAACCTCAAATGTTTCTGTTGAAGAGGATATATATTTTATAGGCACTTAATACTAACTGTGTTGGAAACTGACTAATCGTTGTCTGCCCATTTGAAAAATAGATTGTATTAGGGATATACAGTCTAACGTCAGGGAAGAAATACTTGTTCTCTTCTTACTGMTTTTTTAGGTTGTTTGTTTTGTTTTAGATGGCAAAGTTCACTCCTAAATAACCCACCTTTAAGTTTTTTCATGATTGGCGGCACGATGGCTCAGTGGTTAGCATTGATGCCTCACAGCAAGAAGGTCCTGGGTTCGATCCCCGGTTTGGACCTGGGGTCTTTCTGTGCGGAGTTTGCATGTTCTCCTTGTGCTTGCGTGGGTTTTCTCCGGGTACTRCGGTTTCTCCCACCCCTAAAAACGTACAATAGGTTMCCTTCWGGRCCAGGCCTCCCTTGAAAAACAGATCTGAGTTCTCAATGGGACTRGCCTGGTTAAATAACAGTAAATAAAATGGTATTTGCTGCAGGTAAGATACAGACTGCTCTATCGTACTGCATACAACCCCACTTCATAAATTCTGAGCTTTCCCTTTAAGGGACATACATCCTTATGCTCAAGCTTTAATAGGCTAACAGATAAACTGCTTCGTAATTGGTCTTTCATTATGTATTCATGTAGTGCTCTCATTCAGCAGTATGRGAACATGAATGGAGGGGCTGAGGGCTGCCCAGTGGGAGCAACTTGTGATTCGGTGTCTTGTCCAAGGACGTTTTAACGCTCAGACATCGAACCGCCAACCTTATAATCAGTGAACGACTCGGTGCTTTGGAATCCACAARGTGAGCCGTTTGTGTGGGAGAGCAATAGAAAGGGAGTAATCACATTGGTCTAGATCCCCTCTGTCCTTTTGACAGGCACACATGGCTGCATGTGGGCACAGTTCCTCTGATTGCTGATCAGTATCTCATGCTAAGCTCATTAGCTGACTAAAAAGGGCTTAACTAAACCTCCACAGACTCCCACTTTTTGTGTTTGTGCCTGCGTGATGGGCAACATTACAAGCAAATCCAAGAATAAATTTAACCAGTTTCAAATAGCGTAGGTGGTTGACATAGGAGACTTAGGACTTACACACAAACAACTCCCTCAAGCAGTATGTGGTTCAGGGTTCGGAAAGTTTCCTCTTGACTACAGTTGCAGAATGGTTTGTGTCGAAGCACATTAGTGGAAAAAGACACTCTTTTTAGCAAATTTAGAGGAAGCGACTTAAACAGAGGAAGTGTGTAAAAGGATAGGTTAAYAGGTGGCATGATGCATGATGGAAGTATGTGGGAGAAACACAGATTGTGCTAGGGAGGCTGGTGGGAGAGGATGTTTCATGTGGTAATGATCTAATATACCATCAGCCTCACCGCTGACCAGAATGACGTGTAACAAAAGCTGCTTTATGACTTCCTACAAGCATTTACAGCTTATCGGCTGACCCGAACCCATCACGTCCGCTCTGACGTGTCTCACATTCATAAAGAACCTCTTTATGCATTTTTTGTGAAAGGGCCAAGGATGGGGGGGGTGAGAAACTGCTTTGGCATGAGCTCCATTATCAAGCAGGCGCGCGGTGGCGAGCGTCTCATGCCAGCAAATCACTTCAAAGTGGAATCGTTTTGCCTTTTTCCATTAAGCATCCGAAACACTGCGGACTGATGAAACTCGATGGTGCCCCAGATAGAGCCGCAATGGATGAGAGGACGAGCTTGAACTCGGATGTAGTGAAAAGCAACTTTCAGATGAGCTCTTCCTACTTCAGGGAGGAGACATAAGGAACGAAACWGCTCAGCTCTCAACACCCTTTGTCACTCTGTCTACTTTGTAATCTATAATTGATGGAGTTATTGTTGCATGACAAAGGGAATAAAGCATCTGTGTGCAGCTGTGGATGTGAGTGCCTAAACCTGGCTGTATGTCTATATTCGTTCTGGCTTGTTTTTTGTGCGCCTGGTACATTAGGAGGGTGCAGTGTGCATGCCTTTAGGCTAAAGCTGGAATTTTTTTGCGTTTTACCTGTTTAGGTGCAAATTTGACAGAGTACGCTAGAAAACAGACGAGAGAAGCAGCAGCGTCCCCATTAGGCTTCTATTATAAAAGATGGAGTGGATCTCAAAACGGGCTCATCACTAGCTAATCACCCACAGCCGACATCAGAGAGGAGTAACAGACAGAATCCTAATGTGTCTTACACTTTAGCATATCTTCTCCTTGTCCTTCACCTTTTGCTTTGTTCCCCTGCTTGCCTCACATTTTTCGGCTTTCTCGTCTCTTCACAGCGTTTTCCCCCCTCCTGCTCTCTTACTTTTGCTTATTTCTGCATCTAACATTAATTAATCATGAGCATGACTAGGATCTGTGAGGCTCCACCATCTTCTATCCATATTTTCCCATTAAAATGCTCAGAATAATGGAGCTGAGTGTGGAATGATTTGGGTCACTTGCTGATCAATGTCATTGATCACAATAAAATATCCCTGCATTGTTTTGCTTCCCTCACAGCAATACATCAATTTGTGCATCCGGCTGCTTTGTTTGGTCCTGTTGATTTGTGTGTGTGTGCATGTTTGATATGACTAAATGCATATTTAATACTCCCCCACCACCAACATCATTTCATCCGGTAGATGGTCACAATGTCAAGAAGCAAACAAGTATAAACTCCTACACTATTATTTCTAGATTTTCAAAGATCTTTGGTATTTAAAAGAAAACTGCGTCCAGGAAAACACATGGCAACATGAAGAAATGACACGATCATGGACGTTGTTAAGTAWAAATGTTTATTTTGTGGTGCAACCTCGAAATATATTCATTCACTGCCTGAGTGGAAAGTGCTGTTTTATTTATTGACTATTTTAAGGTGGAAGATATTAGCACTATTTATCTTAGATTTAATTTCAGTTATGTAACCAATGCTTTTTGTCCAGCTTAGACCAGTGTTTGGGGGTTCTTAACCAAAAATACACAGAAGGCAAACTGTGGCAAACAATGATAAACCATCAACTATTTTTTTGTATTTTTTGTGACTGCAGCAGACCTGTCAGGGGAATGCTTGTTTCACATAAATTTACATAATCCAACAAGCAAGTTTGAACCCTTAAAGAGTAACTTACCCCAAAATTACCTTTTTTTAACCGATAAACTGTCTAGAATGTGTCTAAAATGTTATATAGTACTGTTTCTGTGCTAATTTTGAAGTTTTTGTGCGTATTTGTTCAAATCTGTAATATTTGGTCTAAAAATGTGTTTTTGCTGCTCATATGGGTAAAGCAGTGGTACTGCAGGCTAATTTGCATATTGGTTAATGGCTCTCCACGGTGACGTGTCTTCTCCACAGTTTCGTCACAGCGGCTGTGTTCTGGTATAAAAGCCTCTCTCTAAGCCACGCCCCTGCAGCAGTCAGAGGGTGGAACAGTTAGCAAACTTAGCATGATCGTCTGTTGACCTTCAGCCTCGGGTGGGGAGAGGAGCTGACTGCTGCGCTTCTCTCTCTCCCCACACACACGTTTGTTTCTTGACCCCGTGGGGACCTTCCATTGACTTCCATTCATGTTTTTTAGCCTTTATATCCTAACCCTGATCATATACTCTAAAATAAACACACACACACACACACACACACACACACACACACACACACACACACACACNCACACACACACACACACACACACACACACACACACACACACCAGCAGTACGTCCTGCACAGCGGGAGGGGAGGAGGGGGAAAAAAACAGAAAGGCAGCGGGGCAGCTGCAGCCCTAATGGGCCAAACTTCAGTCAAACAAGACCCAACYCTTTTATTCCTGATTTAAACWAGRGATCTTGTGAGCAGCTGCAGCTGTATGCTTTTATTTTTTTTATGTCAGGCTGTCGGAGCGCTCCACCGCCTCTGTCCYGTGCTGGTGTGGTGTGAGGCGGACAGCTCAGCAGAGGCTGCTGGAGCTTCATGTCCTGATCCAGGGAGCCAACACGACTCAGTCCCAGACTGAGCTGACTTGATCAAGTCTCTCTCTGCCTCTGYTGAAGAGGGGGGTGAAAAATCCTCCACTTCAGACCGTTTAGAGATGTAACTGTCTGCGATACTGTGGTCACTCTCCATGTAGCATCAATTATGCTAATGCTAGCTGCCTGTTGCGTTCTCTCGTCCTGGCCACACCTCTGCTCTCTAAACCCCCCTCCCCTACCCACTTTGATGCATTTTTCAAATTTCGCCTTGGGGCGGAGTTGTCTTTTCACGGGGGAGTTAAGATAACACTTTAACCTCAAACGTATGGACGCCCTGCTGGGTTTTACCATGTCTTCTTTAGTTTGGCGATGCCTCAAGACACCCTCAGGGCACTGTGCCAATCTTTAGGTTGTAGATATTTAACAGACTTTTACATGTGTAAGTTGTTTTTTATTATTTTTTTATTTTTTAATTCCTTTTAATGAATTTGGTCAACTTTGTAGGTGGCGTGGGGGTGATCACAATTATTTTATAAAGTTAGAGAAAGATGTTTATTTATTTATAGTTTTTTTGTATTTTATTTTCCCCATGTCTATTGTTATTTTTATTGTAATTATTGTGAATTTAAAATATCCACAGATGTAGTTATTGATCATAAGCTTTTCTCAATGGGGTCGATGTTTAAATTAGGGAATTGTATTTCTGTTTGTTTCTTCCTTCATCGACAGTCCAGATGACTGGTGTCAGAATTGACATTATAAACATGTATAAATAATTATGGGTCAAATGTCTTAAATGAAGGATTGCATAAACAAGATTCAAATGAGATGTAAAATGTAAACTGGGACAAGGATGGATCTGTGTACATGATGGTGCCTTCTTCCAAAATCCTGTCTAAAAGCCAGGTCATAGACAATTTTGTTTGCCTGTGGTTGACTCCAAAAGTTTGATATAGTTACATTCAATTATACTTTATTAAAATTTATTAAAATCGGTGTAGTGGTTCATTAGAAATTTTGCTAATACAACAAACTATTGATCACACACAGAGACATAGATAAAACACACTTCTGCCTTCTGTGGTGGACAATTAAAGCTTAAAACAAGATAATATATTGATTTGTCCTGCACAGCTGTGTTTTTGTGTATGACACAGTTGCCTCTGGTTTAGAACTTGCTTGTTAGCTTACTTATATTCCTGTTTACTACTTGGGTTTGCAGTTCAGTGACGTGCTCGCTGGGATAAAGTGAGAACTCGGATCTTTTGAAGTGAYGTTCGCTCCCGCTGACGGCCAGACCGAGCAAAAAAAAAAAATGAAAGTGGATTGCTGCCATCCTTAAACAACCCCAAGTCTCAAAAATCTCCTTGAGGTTTATGGAAACACTGTTTTTAAAGCCTTTTACGTGTCRGTCAGTTTCACATTACACAGTTATTTACATAGCATTCTGTGGTTATTTGCAAGTACAAATAAAGACAGCAGGYACTTCTGGCAGGAATAGCCTAATATTTCTGATGAAATATTTGCATCATGAGAAATTGATGGCAGTGGAAAGGCTTATAAAACTGTTGACATGAATTGCTATGAAATGTTTGAAACTGGAGTTTTAAGACAGCAGCAATCCCCTTTTGTCCTGGCTTCACTCGGACTAACTGTTCTCATTAATTTGATGAGGATTAAACTCTATTTGTTTAAAATGAGGTCATTTAAAGAWCTATCTATAGCAAGTAAAATAAGATTTGTTCAGAAACTTTCCACAGAGCCTCACTTTAAAACATCTGAACTCTCTGTAATTTTAAATTGGCCATAGGGGTGAATGTGAGTCTAATTTAGCTGCGATAGCCTCAAGCTACAGTGTGGAAATTTGTTTGTGAACTTGTAAACAATGTGCCCCCTTACCTCCTGTCATATTCTCCTCAATAACTCGCTCTATAACAGGAGCAGCCTTTGAACCTGTCCGCAAGAATGTTTTTTTTTCCCCAGAAACCCTTTTGACAGTCTTTGTAATTAGAGCTCAGGGCTGCCACCCTACTGAGACTCCGAGCATCTGTCTCTGATAAACACCCGTCTGATGAATACCATCTGAAAATGATTATAACAAATAAAACTGGACATGCCAACTCATGCAACATACATATAGGTGCAGGCTGTGAGCCTAATTAGCCATGTGGAAGTGCTAGAACGATCAGTGTTTACTCTCCTTGTTGTCTCAGATTGTGCGGGAGGAAGCGGCGGGAGCGCCTCACTTCGTTTAAGGCAGAGAGATTTAATGAGATGTTTTGGGTGTTATTTTTTCCTTTCTTTAATACAGAAGTGAAGCCAAGAAGGGAGGTAGAGACGAGTTGTGTGGAAGATGAGTTTTACTGGAGTTGTGCACCGTGTGACCTCAGCCTTCCTTCGTTTCTAATTACTTTCTTTTCAGCACTAACTGATGCTCTTTGTACACCACCCCCTCCTATCCCTGGCCACCGCCAAAGCTCCTCTTGTATCACTCACAAGCTTTCTTTCATCTTTTCTTGCTTTTAACTTATAAAACTGTTAAGAAAATGAAGAGGTGTCAAGCATTTCACTTGATGCCGATATTAATATTTGTTTTAAACATCGAAAAGTTTGATGTTAATGAAAAACTTCCACTCCTATGTCTTAATTACCGTGTTTACTCAAGTATAATGCGTAAAATTTAATCCATAAAATCATCCATAAAGTTGGGGGGTAGTATTATACTCGGATAAATATTTTTACTTATGTATTTTAACTGAAATATCGGCAAAATTGTTGAATGCGGAACTGAGACCGCGTTGTAAAAAGCAGTTGAAACGAACTCACCTGTGACACTCCTCCATGCTTTAGAGCGAGATAGTAAAAGATCCAAGCAGGTGACATGATGTGAAAAAAAGGGGGGGGGAGGAGAGAGCAGTCCTGCAGCTCGGTAATGATAACAAACTAATGACATTAGCGTGTGACCGAGCCGCCGCTCGAACAACAACAAACACACATGTCCATCTGTAATGGCTGCCGTTTACCGGTGTTCTAAAAAAGTTTGTATCCCTGAAAAAGTTTCCCCACCAGAGGGGGCACTCGCGAGTAGGAAGTAATCTGGTTGTATCTGCTTGAAGATGGCCCAAATCTCATGTGAAGTCACTGYCTTTTGTGTTGYRGCKTCCTGYTGGACTATGTGTAAAATGCCAGAATTCATATGATGCTGCTACAGCTGATATATACAGTATTTGTTATCAAAATACCTTTTAGTACATATGTTGTTAAAATAAAATGAACAGTCCAATGATCATTTTACTGATATGTATAAAGGCTGCAAAGGCTGAAAAATCTTGGTCTGTATGAAATTGGAGCAAGTTTGAGGATTCAATTTTTTATGCTTTTTAAGCTCAAAAAGGGGGGGGTCGTATTATACATGAGATCGTATTATACATGAATAAATATGGRGTATGTATATATATATATTGCTTTTTTACTGTTTTTTTTTTTCTCTTCTTTTGTTTAGATCGAGACTTCAGCATCCAGGTGAGCACGGAGCGACGGTCCTTCACGGCCGGTGAGCCGCTGGAGCTTCGCTGCACCATCGAGGCGCAGAACGTCCCCGAGCGTTTTTTCTCGGTGTCGTGGGTCTTCAGCAGCTCACCGGTGGCCGTGGTGGGCCCGAGCGCCGTGCCCGTCCTGGGCCCCGATTACGTTGACCGCGAGGCCGCCGGTCTCGTGACCGTGCGGAAGGAGAGTCCCAACGTGCACCTGCTCAGGCTGCAGCGCCTGCGCCCCGAAGATGCTGGGAAGTACATCTGCCGAGTCACAGAGCGGGAAAAGACACCGACTGGGGACTTCATCGACCGCAGCAAGAGGTCCCGAAATGTCCAGATCACAGTTCAACCACTTAGTAAGTGATGAATCCTCTGCCTGAGTTGTCCCTCCCTTCTARCTATCTTTCCAAGCGTGGCTGGGCTCTTTTGTTAGCTTAAGAGGAAAGGGAWAATGCTGCTCTTATTTCTGATGTGTTTTCTGTTTGAGTGGATGGCTAAGGATCTGTAATGCAGCATTGTGGTCCTTCCCATTTGCTTGGCTTGGTGGAACGGGGAGGGGTAACACTATAGCAGGATAATGGAGAGCAGAAGAGTCAAGACTGATGGAGCTAACAGCCATGAAATGAAAGCGTGGAGAAAGAAAAGAAGCGGAAAAAAAGGCGTCCAGCTCTCCAGGYCGTTGTAAGTGACTCCCTGGGCTAAATGAATGTCTTCTGCTGGAGCGAACCTGGAGCGTCTCAAGCTGGGCTGCCCTTTGTGGGTGTATCTGGACTCGTGCACACGTACAGTCAAACCAATAAAATCCTAAGTAATGATTCCGTTACCTGCCCCTGAGACTTTTCCTGCTCTCGTTTTCYTTTTTGGAATACGCTGTGTTTTCCTCCTCTCACTGTACTTCCACCATCTGTGCTACAATCAAAACAKAACATGGTAAATAAAACAAGTAATGTTTCCTCTATAACAGCCAACTACCTTATTCTGACCGCTGCAAGCCCTGTCAAATTAGCTGAAAACAATGACCCGAAGCTTACAGCGGTCTCCAGAGGTTATCCGTGTAAGGGAGGTTCTGTTTTTCCAACAAAAGACCTAAAGGCTGTTCACAGCACTCACACATAAAAGGTYTTGTTAATAGGGAAGGACCTTCTTGAAAAAAAATGCAGCACGTGAAACAAACTGTTCTTTCATGCCTGATTTATCCAGCTTATTCACACACACACACATACACACGCACACACACACAATGCTTTCATGTGCTTCATCACAAACAGGTGGATTCAGTAATAGTAATAGGCTTCAACAGGGGCTGGACTGAAGTCAGAGGCATGGCAAAGGAAGAYKAGTTCTAAACACCTTTGATAAATGAGTGTTGATGGATGACTTTATGCAACAACAAAGCATGAGAGCTCAAACTGAACGTGTGCGGTGCTGATAGAAAGAGTAAATGTAGGATATTAAAACAAGAGCACTGTTAATATGTTAATAGAAAAAAACGAATTGAAGAGTAAAACGTGGAAGGAGTTACTGGGGAGAGTAGAAAAATGGGGAAATAAATGAAGTTCAAAAGAATATTTAAAGAAAAAGGTAACAGAAAAAACAAGTTGCTCAGAAACTAGGGTTTTATTCACAACTGAGAACATGCATGACTCAGAGGAAATTCGATAGACTACGGTTTTAGCTGTACAAAACACATAAAAGCTGCTTTTTTTTCTAACCTTGACAACAGGAAATAGAAGCTAACAAAATAAAGACAAAGGGAAGGAGAAGCATGAAAGGTGTCCCTCTTATTCAGTGGACTGTAATAGAAATAAGAAGCAATTTATTTTCATTTTCACTGAGGGCTCATGCTTATCAGGAGGACCGGTGAGAGGAGAGGCAGGAGGCAGAGCTTGGCCCGAGGGGGAGAAAAAAACAAAAACGGAGAAATCTTAAGTCAAATTCTCAAGCGACTGCGGCGGTGCCTCACAGGAGGACAAGATCTTGTGAGTCAACCAGAGCTACGTGATGTCTGATGGTCGTAGAAACGATGTGGGGAAAAAGAAATATATAAAACGGGGAAGACTTTTATCCTTTCCCTCTGAAGTGCCACTGAGCTCTGTGATCTGAGCCTTCTTTCCTGTGCTCGTGTGGACTCGGCGAACAAGCTTCACGCGGTTCAAAAGGAGAAATACGACCTACACACAAAATTTTTGTTTCTTCTCTCGCTGTCACTGCGAGCAGCCCGAGGCCTGTTACCCCCCTACGCACCAGCTCCCACCGTAACACAACCACAAGGATGCAAACTCATTCATGACCCACGTTTTTACAGCATGGTGGCCTCCTTCTGGGAAAAGATGCAGGGGATTGTTTTGTTGCCTCTAGCCTCATATACAGTATGATTATTTTTTAATACACCAAACTATGAAGCATGCTGTCTTTGGAATGTAGCATCAGAAGATGTGATTTTCATCCATCCCTCCTTTTGGTTCCTTATGAGTTTGCATCAGATGAGCAGTGGACTAATAAAGTTTTTAAACACACTTTTCCATTCTCTCTAAGAGGAAGTGAGGAGCTACTTTAATCTGCAATTTTAGTTTTACATAAAAACAAATGCTATGAAACATGCAACCACTTTCCCCAAAATGATTAATCTTATTATTATATTACAGTGACATGATTGGACTTAAAAATGATTTTCAAATCGTCACAAATAGAATATAAAAATGTAACCTAGAGTGCAGCTGGACTTCAGAAAATGAAAATCTTCCCAAATTTAATATATTACCMAAAAGAAACTGCATTTTCCTGCTTTTATGTCTGAAATACTTGGGTTTCTAAGTTATTTTAGATAGCATATCTAAAATAAAAGTTAATTTTCTTTTGTTAATGCAAAAAAAGGCCACAGTGTGTTTGAACACTCCATTTTGATCAGAATATCATTGTTTTAATGGCAATTCATTCAGTGTTTTATGTAGGGTTCTGTGGAAAGGTTATGATCAAATATTACCCAACCTGTTTCAAATAACTCTTCAAACGACCTCAGTTTGAAAAAATAATAATGAAACAAGCTATATACAACTGGTAAGATGTTAATTGTTCATAACGTTTTCACAGAACCTCAAAATTTCTAAGCTATCAAGATGTTTCCATAACTGGACTTAAATCTCGCTCTGGTTAATAGAATTGCCTGACCATACAGCTGCTTGCTTTTTAAAGTTCCACAGCGGGCATTTTTTTTATCACCAACTTTTTTTATTTGTCACAAAATATATTTAAAATTTGCTAAAATTRCATTTAGGGAAGCTTTTCAACCAGCAGGATCACTGCTATATKAAATGTAATTAAACTGAATCTTTAACGCTACTTGTGCCTTCTGCCTAATAAACCTTCATGGTGTGAATAACATGAACAAAAGCAAACCACGTATCAACCTCTCCTAGCACTTAACATTGGGCCTCATGCAAGAACATGTTCGTATTTTTATCCTAAATTTCTCTTACTTTTGTTCGTACAAAGGG